ATGTGATCTGGCCCTTGTCTACCTCTCCGACTTTACCGCTCCCTGCCTCTCTTGCTGACTCTCCTCCAGTTACGCCTGTGTCCCTGCTTTGCCTCGGATATGACACTTTCACTCTTGCCTTAGGGCCTTTGCATTTGCTCTTCTGTCTGTCTAGAACACTGTTTCCCTAGACGTGGCCTCACTGCTCACCTCCTTATTTCATTTGGGGCTGTACTCTAATGTTTTCTTGTCAGAGACTTTCCCTGACGATGCCCATCCCTGCCTTCTCCATTCTCTTATCTGATACAACTTTTCATTGTAGCCCGTATATATCATATAATATATTCGATATTTATATGTTTATCTGTCTCATTAGAAAAAGCTCTGAGAGTAAGGATTTTGTTTTTTTATTTACTGCTGAATCTGCAGAGCCTGCAGCAGTGCTGGCACCATTGTGGGTACCCCTTTCATATTAGTTGAGTGAACGAATAAATGTAATTCATAGTCAGAATAGCATTTATCAAACTTTCCAGGAGGTTTTCTGTCCTTTGTCATATCTTAAGTTTCAGCTCTTAGTTTGGGGCGGAAACCTTTGTAGACTCTAAGCGGCACCATTTGGTCTAGGAATTCTGGAGTCCTGTGCACCTTGAGCATGGACTAGAAGGGAAATGTGGTCTTGGGGAAAGTCTGTAACCTTGTCCCCACAGATTCCTTACCTACGGGGAAGGGCACATCTATGGGTGGGCCAGAGCAGGCTCTCTAAAGTGTGATCCCATCTCACCCAGGTGTGATGTTGGTAACATCTGGGAGGGATACAATAATCAGATTCTGCCTGGTGGCCCGTGGTGCTGTGATCTTTTCTATGGGAACAGTAACGTGGCATTCTGTCATTATCATTTCTGCCTGGTGTCATGCAGCTTTGTCAGGCTGGCTTTGTGGAAGAGCTCGGTGGCAGAGGATTGGTCATGAAAGGTTTAGCGTGGTGAAATGTGCCAGGGAGGCGTTGTACAATGCTGGTGCCTAGATACAGCAACAGTCATCTTACTGGTTTACCTAGTCTGGTCTCCCTCTCTTTCCTCCTGTCCTGCACACTGCTGCCTGGCACTGCCTCTTGATTCAAAAGAGTTAAGTATAATTTGGTTTCACTGCTCAATAAGGTAATGCATGCTCTTTGTAAAAATTTTAAGTATTATGGAAATATATAACATGAGAAAGTAGAAATCTCTGATAACATGAGAAAGTAGAAATCTCCTCTGAAGAGGAACACCTCTATCACTTTGGTATATATTCTATTATTTTTTTTACACAAAAGCCAACAGATATATGTTTTGTATTTTTGTTTTTATAAGTATTTTTATTTTAAGAAATCAACTGTAGGTTACTTATTTTCACTGAGTAATGTGTCATAATCAGTTTTCCATGGCAGTGCAGATGGATCTACCTCATTCTTTATAATGGCTGGATCATATTCTATATTATGGATTTGCTGTATTGCATTGAACCAATTATGGATCTTGGTATCATTTGCAACAATACTATCATAAATACCTTTTTATATTTGCATTTACATACTCATGTAAGCATTTCTATGAGACATATTCTGTATGCTGATTGTTTTTTAAATATACTTCTTTAATTCTGTTACAGCCCACTTTGGAAATCTTCAGTTGCTCCTGATCACCTGTGGGATAAAGTCTAGTCTAGTGCTGTCTGATAGAACTATGAGGACTTGCACATGGGCGCTTCATTCCACTAAGGAGTGTGGCTACCTTGCTACATAAATGCATCACCAACTGGTGCTGGATTGACGCTGATAACTGCTTGATTATGGGCATCCTGGGACAAGTGGAACTGAAATAGCCAACCTGAGGACTGTACCAAACAGTATTTTAGTCGCCAGAATAAGTGACTAGGTTCTCTTTTCAGGGCCTAGATTAACCTACTGACAATAGCTGATAAAACGAGACGGATAATTGGGAAAAACAGGCAATTGATTACTAAAGAGCAGCAATTGTTGGGAAATGGCTAACATCTCAAGGAGAGATGAAGGATGAAAGAAAGTGAGGAAACCTTAAAATCATGATGTGACATTGCTATGTGAAGCAAGGTGCAAAAATGCACATACATTGTAATATGAACCCAGACCATCTTCCACTGTGATGATATATTCTGAAAGAATGTGATAACCCACGTAGCTGTGGATGCAGGACACACCAGAAATGGCAGCCAGATGGAAGACGAGTGTAAGCAGAGAATAGACAAGATTGGTGCAGAGAGAACAAATTGGCAGATCAAGTTGACCTTCAACTTGGTTCCAGCAATCTAAGTTGACATATTTCAGAGGGTGTAGTAAACTCATTACTCACCCAGACTTGGATTGATATCCCGAAGAAGGATCTGGTTGGTGAATATATGTGGGATGGGAGTGAGAGATTAGGAGCTGAGTGGCTGTGGGGAGATGTCATAGTAGCAAGGCTCTCTGGGCTGTGGCTATATATGTTGTCAGGTTGCCGGTATCTTGGTTTTTAGACCATCCGTCTGGATTCAAAGGCCTGGACTTACACAGAAGAATGTTAGGAGATTAGACTAACGTCTAGTAGGGGCATGGATGCCCCAGACAGCTCATCCAGGGTTTATTGGATGCTAGGCCTTGGGAAGAAGACTAATTCTAGACCCCACCTGCCGGTAAGGATGAGGGTCCCAGGATAGTCTCTCTCTTGTATCTTTTTGGCTTAGGAACTGGGTGAGGCTGTCTGCTCATTTATATAAGTTGACTATCTTCTGAACCTTTTTTCTATCCAAACTAACCCTTTCCAAGGCTAAGGCTGAAAGACTAGACATGATTAAGTTGATATTTCACTAGTTTTCAGTGTCTGAGGTAAAAAATAAATTTACTGTGATACCAGGGGCTTATTGAGTAACTGTTTCTGTGCTGGGAGCTTGCACATATGGGAGGGTGTGACTGATTCCTGGGAATTTGCACATTAGAATTGAGAATAACATAGAAACAACACAATAATAGCCAATAATTAGGTGAATACAGTAAGAAGAGTTATTTATTAATGGAATCTGGTGTTAAAACTGTGCTATACAAGTGCATATCAGGAAACGGCTGGAGGCAGCACGAGGGAGTGAATTTGAGTGGTTCAATTAAATGTAAAAACCCAGAAAGAGTGAAAAAAGAAAACATAGAAAATTTAATCGTTCTAACTTTTCCCTAGTTTTGAGGAAAAAAGTCTCTAATAAAGTGTCACAATTTATTTTTCTCCATTAGGAACAAAGGTAAAATCAAAATACAAAATAAACCTCCTTTTGTAGAGTTATCATTTAGTGTTACGTGTTTTACGAATATTGTGAAGAAGTACAAGAATAGCCATAGAAACACAAATGGAAGTGATAGAAAGGCTACAAAGTAGATTTGCAGGGAAAATGATCTCTGTCTCCACTGAGACTTAAACAGGAAAAATAATAATAATAAAAAATTGTGAAAAGAGTATTTGAGAACAAATTTATAACTGACAGAAGGGCCCGAAAGCCACCAAAATGACATACTAAGAGAAACAGTGGGATTTTTTTTCACGGGAGAGTTTTAAGAAAAGAGTATTATCGCCTTCCAATTATGGTTTCATGTCTTTTCTCCCCAAAGGCACGTGTACTTGAAACCCCTCCTGGCCCCATAAGAGAAGATTCTATGGCCCTGATGAGATTGTGTGCATTAGAATCGCTTCTCCTGGAAAGGAGACACTAAAGGGTACTCGAATGAAATATTGAAAATGATGAAGGGCGTAACAAAGGCCAGTCAGTCCTTTCTTTTCCCCAGACCCCGTAATATGAGAACAAGGGTTATTTGATGAAATTAAAGAGTAGCAAATTAAGTGCTAATAAAATGAGATAGTCACTTATATAATTCATTACCATGGGAGGTCACAGAGCCAAATTCTGTAGCTGGATTAAATATGGGGCTGGATAATTTTATGACCGCTAATGATATTTTTAGCGGTGGAGGTTGATATTATGAGAGAAGTAATCCTATTACATTCTTCACTAGATGGTTTGCAGGGACCTCTGGCAAGTGGTGTCTGAGAAGTGTGAGAGCAGGCCTTGCAGGTTCTAACCTTCGGTGGGGAATTGTACTGAAAATTAGTTTTTAAGGTGAATGTCGTCAAGGTATTCCGTTCATGTTTCAGTCCCAGCTTCTCTTTTGGAGATCCAAAAGTCCTTTTATCAGAAGAAATTGAGGTACAAAGTTTTGTTATACAAGGTGAATAAGTTCTGGAGATCTATTGAATAGCAATGTGACTATATTAACAATACTGTATTGTATACATGAAATTTGCTGAGTAGATCTTAAATATTCTTAGCACCCTCCCCCTCCCAAAAAAGAAAGAGGAAAATGGTACATGTGGTAAGTGAGAGACATATTAATTAGCATGATTGTGGTGATTATTTCACAGTGTACATGTGTATCAAAATACCAAGTTGTACACCCTAAATGCATACAGTTTTTGACAGTTATACCTCAATAAAGCTGGGAAAAATAAACACTAAATTTTTTTTTTAAAAAAGAAGCACTTGGGAAAGACATTGCCCAGAATTAGATCATTTCTGGTCTTTGGGAACCATTCAGTTTATTTATCGAATGCCAGTCATGTATCAGGCACTTTGCTTGGAGGTTTAAAAATCTGTTGGGAATATAAACAAGTAGACAAATCATTGCCATTCGGAATGAAGGGGACTGCACCAACGGGAGACTATAAAGTAGCACGAAAGTACAAAGAAGCAAAGGAATAGCTCAACTCTGGTTCAGAGAAGATTCACAGAGAAGGTGACATTAGACCTGAGTCTTAAAGATTGAGTAGGAGTTCACTCTACAGGCAAGATAAGGAGTTCATTCTGGGCAGAAGGAACAAACAGCATGCACAGGTCAAGAGACAGAACATGTCGTAATGTGTCGGTGAGCTCCCAGTAGTTTAGAAAGGCTGTGCCACAGGGTTAGGGGGCAGAGAGGGAGAAGGTAGGGCATGAGATGGAGAAGGGAGACAGATCATGAAGACCGGGATTGCCTGAGACGTCTCTCCAGCAATAGTGCTTCCAATGGTGGCGGTAGTGGGTGGGGAGTAGAGAAGAGGAGGTGAGGAGATTCTAGGAAGTGTCATATGACAGATAAAGGACAGCCCCTCAAAGCCTTGCCCCACTGTCCTAGGCTTCCCTTTTTTGACCACTGTCAACAGTTGCCTGGTGGTGAGCGTTGTGTTTCACACAACTCCTTGCTTCACTCATTTTTACTATCTGCCTGAAACAATCTTCACCATGAACTTAATCACCATTATTAGTAGTTAAAAAAAAAAAAAACCTTCCCTCCTTTGGGTAGAGAGAGGTTCTTATAGACCTTAAATAAATTGAGATAAGCCTGGCATGTCTGTCTGGTCTTGTTCCCTTGGGCTCTACCAAGAACCAAATCAGTCTTTGGGTGGGAAAGAAGAGGCAGATTTCATTCGCCTGACCTTAGACTCCCATTATCTCTGTGAAGTTGGCTCAGCAGATAGGAAGGAAAACACACAAGGCCTTTGAGGAGCAGATGGATTGAATTGTTAAAAATCTGTTTTGTTAAATGATTTCGGCTAACAAAATAATTTAATTAGGAAAAAAAATCACCCAAACTCTGCTCCTTCTTCAGTGATATTTAAATAAGAATATCATTATTAATCACTCAAATGCTAACTTGGAATTTCTGCACCATTAATATTGATAAGAAGAATCAAATGGAAATGAGAGAGAGAGAGAACGTCTTTTGTAGAAACTGGTTTTCTTGGTGGTCTTATCTTTGTGGTGGATGCAAATACTTTATTATTATTATTATTTGTGTTGTTACATAGTACAGTAGGCAATCATCAGTTTTCCCCATCAGATTATAAAGCATTGTGTAATTGTGATGTATTTCCTAATGCATAACCTTTTCCGTAGTAGTCTTTGAAGGCTCTTTTAAGATAATTCTTCAAAAACATGGGGTTGCTAGAGGGATATAGAAGTGAGGTTGCTTATGGAAAGTAAATGGGTGCGTATTCAATTTTCTGTGAGACCATCTATGTTATAGAGTGTCAGTGGATGAAATTGAAATATGTGTGCTCCAGGCACAGTGTTTGGTGTTAGATAAAGATGATTAATATCATGATTACTCACAATCTCGTAAGTACAAGAGACAATTTTACCACGACTTGATGAACTAAATACAAGTTCTATAGTAGAGGTATATCCAGATGTTAGCTCTGTCTGGGGAGTTGGCAGTGTTTTCATAAAAGCTAACATTTAGGCTGGGTCTTAAAGTAGAAATTACAGTCAACCAGAAGAGAATGGAGGATGGGATCAAGGTGTAAGAGAGAGCATTTCAAAATAGAAACAACAGAGATGTCTCCTGGAATTTTAAATGGCTTGTTTTTTCTGTCCCTTTTTCTAACTTCTGTTATATCATTGTTGTAACTTCTAATACATTTTGAAAAATTCTCCTTTGGGTAAAAAATGGGCTATATCATATCAGCATCTATATAGCATCTAGTAGATATTAATCTTGTCAGTAAGGCGGTAGTGATCAAGGATTCCTTTAAGTCCCAACATTAATTCACTTAAGTATTGGTGAATCATTTGCTCTCCTGGACTGGGCACTGACAGATAAGTCTTTGCTGTCAGAAGTGAGGCACGTGGTATGGGTAACACAACATTTCCCCCTGTTGTTAGATATGTCTGTGTAATGAATCAATACAGGCTCTTTTAGTTCCAAAGGCACTTGATTTTACTTGAAGTGTGCCTTTTCATGACGAGGCTTCCATCAACAAGGTTATTTGTTGGTAGTTGTGTGAAAAAGAAAACATAAGCTTTGAAAGAGCTTTGATGCCAAATGATGAATATATCCTTTCAAGGACCATGTAAAAAATAGGTGAATATATTTAATAAAACTTTTAAGTTTTAACAAGTGTTCTTCTTTCCCCTTTAGACCTTAGCTGGATCTCCAAAATACAAGTGAATCACCCAGCAGTTCTGAGGCGAGCAGAACAAGTCCAGGCTCGCAGAACCGTGAAAAAGGAGTGGCAAGTAAGGGTTCTTCTTGAGCATTCTGTTCCTGTATTTTCCAATGCCTGGTCTCTTCCCTCAAGGCCACAGTATTGAATTTCGCTCAAGATGCATCTAAACTTAAAAGATTGCAGCTGTCCATGACTTATTTTAATAATTCATATATGGTGGTGATGGGTGGGAGAAAGATAACACATTTATCCAAACAAGTTAAAAATCTTATCACTCTTGAGTGGCAAAGCTGCAAATGAATTTGAGGCATCTTTATTCATGAGTGAATTAAATGACATATTTTCTCAACACATTTATTCAGTTTCTTAGACATACATTCTTTGATTGTCGTCTTTTTTAATTTTAAAACCGTGACATGTAAACCTGGTATGTCCGGTGGTGAGGCCCTTAGGTATAAGAATTGACCTTCTCTGATCGTCATGTTTACCTTACTATTAATTTTCATAAATCATTTTTCAAAATTCAAAAAATGATGTTCTGTAGTGTACTTGTGGTCAGCATATTCTTCACTGTATACCAACCAAAGACATGCTATGCATCGCAGGGCTAGAAGGAATTCAGAGTTCATTTCACAAGTGAGGCAAAATATTTTGATTGAATCCTTCAGGGTGACATTTCACATTTTACTCATCCTTGGAAATATTCTGATTGAAAAGATAAAAGAAAATTCACCAGAATGAGTTCTGAAATATGAATATTGTTTTAAAAATGGAATTGGATTAAATGGAAACAAACAAAGAAGTTAGAGACTCTTTTTTACAATGTCTCATCTCAGATCCCAGGGCTGGAGATAAAAGGTAAGATAGAACCCTCCTTCTTCTGAGTTCTCTCATATCAGAGTAGTCATCAGGGCTCCTTGTGGTTGAGATGGAGAAGTCAGATGTGGGGAGACTTGATCTAATAAAAGTTTTAATTTGAGGGGCCGGCCCAATGGTGTAGTGGTTAAGTTTGTGTGTTTCACTCTGGCAGCCCAGGGTTTGCAGGTTTGGATGCTGGGCACGGACCTACACGCCACTCATCAAGCCATGCTGTGGTGGCATCCCATATACAAAATAGAGGAAGATGGGCACAGATGTTAGCTCAGGGCGAATCTTCCTCAGCAAAAGAGGGAGAGTGGCCACGGGTATTAGCTCAGGGCTGATCTTCCTCAGCACCCCCAAAAAAGAAAAAAGTTTTAATTTGAGATCTGTATGAGAGAAAAAAATTTTTTAAGGCTATTCGCCCCTTTGTTCTTTGTAATATTCATCTTGTTGGTCACTCTTGAGCAATGTTTTTATCATATATCAGAATAATATGCCTTAGAACAGTATAGATGTTAGATTTTAGCACATGTTTGTTTAATGATTTTCTGCTAACTAACTGGGTTGGAGATTACCTTTTTTTTTTAACTTTGTTTTTACTTTTCCTCAAACCAGGCTGGTTGGCTCCTGAAAGCAGTTACCTTTATAGACCTTACTACACTTTCAGGCGATGACACATCTTCCAACGTTCAAAGGCTCTGTTATAAAGCCAAGTATCCAATCCGGGAAGATCTCTTAAAAGCTTTAAATATGCATGATAAAGGTAACCTTGTTGTGTATAATCTATCTGGTATTTACCTTGTTATAATACTAATTACTAAATCTAAGAGGACTTAAGACAAGATTCAGCTGCTAAGATAATAGCAGTAAAATCCATGATAGAATTGCATACATACACATATAATTGAGATTCTTCTCTGAAAAACAGCAGAGAGAGAATCTGAGTCTCATTTTTAGGTCGTTTATTTCCATCATGGATTAAAGTTGCTGGTCGAGAGTTTCTTGATTTTTCTTTCCAGTTCTTCAGTTTGAGGAATTTTCTCTCTAGTGACTCTAAAATACTGATTCTGATTCCCTAGCCACATGTGAAAAAACCAGTCTCATTACTTAATAATCACATCTCATGCATAAAGTATTTTCTATGAGTAAATGAAATACTTTTGAGAATAAAATGCAAATGGGAAATATTGCTTACTTGTGTATTAGGTTAGATCTTTTGAAAATAGTTATATTCACTCTCTTAGTATACATGAGAGAAAGGACTTTCTAAAGTTGCTGTAAGTTTAGGACCTTAACATTTTAGAAGTGGAGGAGACCTTTATGAGTCAATCCCATTATTTCTAAATGAGGAAACCGAGACCTGGAAGGCTAAATGGTATTTGCAAGACAACTTGTCTTGTTACTCGCCGGGCTGGTTTTAGGAACGAGATCTTTCCGTGAAGAGAAGCTTCATGGTTCCTGAGTGCCTGTCTCTAATGAGTGCAGCTAGAGATGTTGCATTGGCCCGATGCAGGTATTTATCCCAAATAATTTGTAGATAATTTGTAGACCTGAAAATTCTACAGCTTTTGAAAAATATTTGTGTTTCTTTTGAGTTGATAATAAAAACATCACCTATTTATAGTACTTAAAAGTAACAACTTTGGGTGAGAGGGGCTGAAAAAAAGTAACAATTTTGCAGTATGAGTCTTATGCTATTGCTTTGTTTTTTATAGTGGCTATTTGATTTTTTAATTTTAATTTTTTAAATTTAAGAGTTTATTCCTCAACATGATGGCTCCAGATTCAGATTTTATTATTTCTTGCAAAAGAGGGAATAGGGTTAGTTAAATGTCATTTAGCTATACTACCCTGTAAGGTTCACTTATATTTCTCTTCATCCACTGTCAGTTTGAATGCTGTACAAATCTGGATTTTGTTATCTACATGAAATAAAATATTTTCACCGAGTCAAGACCACTAAGTTTACTATTTAAGAATTTTTAAAAAGTGGTATTACGTTAGCTACAAAGAACAATGTGTCACAGCTGTTATATTCTGACTGTAATGATGAGAAAATGATCCGTGTTGTCAAGAACTGGAAGGGAATATGGAAAGTAAAAACCTTTTAATTTGTTGCAGCATGGTAGGGGAATTATTTTTCCTCTCAGTTTGATATCTGCCAATGTTGCAGTATAAATAATAATTAAAAGCATATTGTGCGAATTGAACTTCACATAAAGTAGGCTGTTATGATTTCTTCCTTCGTAGGCATTACCACAGCTGCCGTTTGTGTTTATCCTGCCCGGGTGTGTGATGCAGTGAAAGCGCTGAAGGCTGCAGGCTGTGATATTCCAGTGGCATCAGGTAAAATTTCTTGTGGCATTTATTATTATTTTTCAACATGTTTCCAAGTCTTCAACTCAGACACCTTACGGTGTTATATATATTTTTATACTCTGATTTTAATTAGTTTTATACATTTAATTGGTTGTATATATTCATTCTTTTAGTGTTTAGTAATTGTTTTCTAAGTAGCAGGCATTATATTAATTCCCAAGAATACAGAACTGTATCCCTGTCCTTAAGGAAACTTAGTTGTTTAGGAGGTGTAGTCAAGTTAAAAAAAATCATAACGCAGCATATGTAGTATTATATATATATATATGTAAGATGGAATAACAAAGATATACAAACGGTACAGTTGTAACTCTGAGCAGGGAAGGGTTGGTGACGGGTTGGTGACACTCAGAGAGTAAGGGAATGATTCATAGAGAAGATGATAAGTGCATTGGGTCTTAAAGAGTAAGGAGGAGTTGACAGTGTTGATGGAAGAGTTGACAGTGTTGATAAGATAGGGAATGGCATTTTAGACAGAGGAACTAGCATGTGTGAAGGCACGGAAGCATGTTCAGGGAACTGAAAGTTGTTTGCGATTGTTGGATCCTAAGGTAGGACAAGGGGGGAGTTATGGGAATTGAAGCTGGAAAGGTAGATCGGGGCCAGATCACGTAGGGAAACCATGCCTGGCTTGGTTTGGGCTTTATTCTGGCGATGGGGAAGATACTGAAAGGTTTTAAGGAGAGGCATGCTATGAGCAGCTTCGTTAGGGGATAATAGCGGACAAATTAGAGAGGGGAGAAATGGAGTTAGGGAGACTTACCACAGGCCATGTGGGAGATGATGAGAGCCACCCTAGAGCCTGGAAGATAAAGAAGAAAGGGTATGTTCAAGAGTTATTGACTTAAGATAGACTCAGTAGGGCTTGGCATGAGGGAAAGAAAGTCTTAAAAGCTTCTATGTAGCTATGTGTCTATGTGTGTGTGTATGGATGGATAAATAGATATAAAATTAGATTCAAATTAGATTCTACTTTTAAAAGATGTTGGAGGAATATCTTGGTGCTTTAAAAAAGGAGTCTATAAAGATCATTAATTTATTTTATTAGGGGTATATCAAAAGAAACATAGTATACAGTATTTATGTCCATCCTATTTGTGAACATTCCCAGAGTATTTGACAGCTACACCTTTATCCACCTTAATTTTTAATCAGCCTCAGTTATTCGGCTTTTCCCTTATACAGCAGGGAGATGTGCTTTCCTCTAAGGGAGCAGACCCAAGGAATTTAATAACATCAAGGAAACACTAAAGTTATCTTTAGACATGGGAATGGAATCACTGATGTGCATGTAAAAAATGTTAATACTTTTAAAAAAATGTAGTTGTATTTTCATTTTGCTTTTATTTATATTTGGCCCTGCTCTTTGCAACTCTGCCCCTGCCCCAATTTTGTGGACTAATTAGGTGCTTTTCCTCCTGCATTCTCTTCCCTTTCTTCCCATCTGCTTGGCTGGTTGTTTTAAGATATGCAGTGGGAGGAACCTATATTACAATTTGGTTACAACAACTAAAAATGTGGATGGTAAATCAAGAATATGGTGACGGCCAACTTGATTAAGAGTAGGATCCACAATTAATTAGTGTCCATCAAGACAGGGCCACAGCTACTATTTTATGACCCCCAGTCTGATGATAATATATTTTTTTAATTGCTATTTACTTAAAGCATCCTCATGAACATCTCTGCAGCAACTTAATTTCATGTCTTCCAGAGGGTATAATACTAACATTTATCCTAACACCAATAATATGCGAGATAACGTTCTGTTTCTTCGTACTTAACTTTGCAAGATATGCATGAAATTGTTAAGTTTTATTAATGCTTTGGTCTAAATGCTGATTTTTTGGTCTGAAATTCTTTGTTAAGATATTGACCAATTGAAATTTGTCTTCCTTCTTTTTTTTCTCTCTCTCTACTAGTGGCTACTGGCTTTCCAGCTGGACAGACTCATTTAAAAACACGATTAGAAGAGATCAGATTGGCTGTGGAAGATGGAGCTACAGAAATTGATGTAGTGATTAACAGGTCCTTGGTGCTGACAGGCCAGTGGGAAGGTAGGTGCATGTCCTTACCTATGAGGGAGATACAGTTCTTCCCTGGTGAATCAAATGAGGGTCTGGTGAGAGGCGGGATGTTTTGGAAGTCACTGTTCTCGACTACAAGTCACTAGATCAGAGCATGGATCTAGGAGAAGACATGGCGAGGATTGCTCATCCTAGTGCCCCTCTTAAATCTAGGAAGTTGCCTACCTGCATGAACTTTTTAGATCCATTTGAGTGCTTGGTGAATAGTTGTTTCCATGCAGTAGATTATTAACTTTTATTCTATTCGGTACTGTTTTGTTACTCAATACGTAAATCAATGCGTGCAAGTCTTTTATGCAAAGTTTGTTTTAATATGATATGGGAAACTTCCCTTTTTAATGTTAGTCTTTGTGGATTTTGAGGATGTGGGATTATTAAGAAGTCTGCTAAGTCTGTATTTATTCCTACTATTCTTGCACTTAGCTCTTGTGACTATTATTTCGTATTTGCCTTTGAGATTCGTGATTTACTATCACTCTGATTACAGTAAGGCATTGCCCATTCTGATAACGAGGTGTTGTTTTTGTAACTGGATATTAAAGAAATACGTTTTGCCTCTGTCTTAAATATATTTTGTGTATTAGAGATCATTGATAGCTAAAATAAGTACAATTCTCTATTTCAAAAAAATCATTATAACAAGTAGTTTAAAAATTTTTAACAAAACTATAAGATAAAGCCAGAATAATAAATTATCTCTTTAGATGTGTGAATATCAAATAAAAGAAATATTTTATTCTAATTATGGAGGTTATATCTGCTCACTGTTAAAAACAAAGATTCCAATTAGTAATAAAGGACGTGAATGTTTCACATAATCTCACCCCCTAGAAATAACCCCTGATAACACTGCAATGCACAACTTTCCAGACTTTTCTCACATCATATATGCATATATGCAACTCCAAGCCTTTTTTAAAGTTTAAGTAAAAAATAAGATTATATTTAATGTATTTTTTCTTAACCTATTTATTGGATTTGCCAGTATCTTACGGATGTCTTTCTGTGACTCTTTTTATCCATCAGTCAATCAATCTCGTTGTCTTTAAATCCTGATTCCATTGTTTATCCATTAAGAATTGCTTTTGGTTTTAGAGTTGCAAAGATTCAGTCAGTGGTTTAATTACTTAAGGATTAATTCTCTTGTATAAAGTCTGGAAGTAGCTATGTTCAGTGGTGTTGCGGCATCCCCACGAAGTTCTTGGAGGCTACTTTTATCTTCTACTTCCAAAGCATATGGCTCTACTGTCATACTCAAGGGCATCCCATTGTCTAAGATGGGTTCTGAAGCTCCAGCCTTTACACTGATATTCTAGACAACAGGAAAGAAGGGCTTGTTGTGTCACAAAATCTCACACAACACTTTTGCTTACACCTCATTGGCCCGAACTGAGTTATATGGCCTTACTTGGCTGCAAGTGAAGCTGGAAAATGTAGTCTTTTACCTTGGAACATTAGCTACATTCCCATATATTATTAATAAGTTAGATAGCATCCGTTTCTATGCCTAGATGGAAAGGAATGAGGGAAGAAATACTGGCAGGAAAGGACAGTGTACCATAACGAGCTAAACAGGATCTGACAGTAAAAAGCTAAATAGCAAAGGACCAGGCAAAACAACAATAACAAAAATACTTAAATAAAAAAATATACAAAATAAAAAAACACAGAAGTCTGGACCGTAAGCTGTGGGCTAAGTCATCTCAGAGATTTCAGTAGCTTCCTGAGAGCATCATCTTATTCTAGGATAATACAGACACAAGAGGTCTGAATGATCTAGAAAAAATATAAGGCTGTTCTCATGTGCCGTACACTCTCATCAGTACTAATCAACATTTTTAATCCTTGCCAAGCTTAAATTGTTGACAGTTCACGAATTTTTTTTGTGCTTTTAATTTTTTTTCCTTATGGTCCACGTGTGTTTTGGCCAATTGCAATCATTCTTAAAAGGCTTATTTTAAATAGATATTTCTTGTCCCTATATATTAATTCTGCTTGTCTGCTTCTAGTCACAGATTTCAGTTAAGATTTAAGGCTGGGTAAGAGAAAAAAATGAGTAAGCATAATATTTAAAACAAATCTAGAAATAAACTCTATGTGATTTAGTTGGATAAAAAACTGTATGCCCTTTATGTCTTTTATTAAGTTGTAGACATATAGTTTATATTATAACTTGTGCTCTTGTCTCTAGAATACTACTAATTGGAAAATAAAATATAATAGGAGATGAGTTTTGATGTAATTGGCAATCCCTAATGGTTGTTTTTAAGAACTGATAATTTCCTAATAACAGGCATTCATGCAAAATATAATAACACATCTTTGTCCTAGACCATACTTTTCTATTAACTCTTTTTTATGGTGTTAATAACCTCTTGACCCAAAACAAATTGAAAAGGAAAATTTAATACTAGAAATTTAATTCTAAATAGAAAGCTGCGATGACTTAGGACTTTTTCCACTGCAGTATTTTGTCTTGATTTTAGCTCTCAATTTGATTACATATTGTATTTTTCAGTGTCTCATGTGTTAATATTAGCTGTTTACTAAAATATGAGTCTAAAATTGATTTCTTGGAATTTGCTGATGGAAGTGTCTGTCAGGCTGTTACATGTGCAAATCCAGGTTCCTCTCCTCTGTGCACTGAGGTGTGTAACACTTGTTAAAGCACAAAGAATCCCATTTTTTAAACCTGGCCATTCAGAGCGCATCCTAACCATGTCTCTTGGTCACAGAGGTCACAGTTTAGGGTGTGAGCTCAAAGAGGAGACTGGAGAGGGCTTGTATTCATCTTCTTGGATTCTCCTTGGTGATGATTTAAAATCTCTGCTCTCCTCAAACTTCTAACTCTTCTGCCACTTGAGGCTCTTTCACTCTCAGCAGACTACCTACTTGCTACTTCTCAGAGAGAACAGAAGCTGTTAGACAGGAACTCCCTTCAGGTCCTTGCATCAGCTCTGCTTTCCTTAGCTTCTTCCCTTTCTCCTTCTCCTAAGTCCAATGCCTCCGCTGTGCTGTGGCTCTCATCTCCTCCCACGTTTTCAGAGGTGTTGTTTCATTTATTGGCCATTTTTTTTCCTCCTGTATCTTCAGCCTCTCTCTCTACTAGCTCATTCCCATCAGCATCTAAACATACTTAGGCTTTTCTTATCCATTAAAAAAAGCCCACATACCAGCATTCCCCCTCATCCCCAGCTAAGCCTCCCTTCCTGTTTTCCTCTTCATGGCTAAAATTCTTAAGAGTCGTATGTACTTATTTTGCTTGAATCTGTTCTAACCAAGATACTAATGATTGCTCATTTCACTTGACCAGACGATACTCTTCAGTTGTTTATTTAGCTTTACTGTTCAGCAGCATTTGACACGGTGGACCACTTCCTCCTTCTGGAAACACTCTCTTGTCATGGCTTTGGTGACCCTACATTCGTCAGGTTTTCCTTCGTGTTTCTGCTGACCCCTGCGTCTTGTTTGCAAGCTCGTCTGCCTCCTCTGTCATCCCTGAAGTGTTGGTGGTCCTCAGGTTCCCTCCCAGCAAACTCTCTAACTTCTCCTCAAGCTCTGCACACTTTCCCTTGGAAACCTCATCTCCTCGCCGATTTTAGCTATGTTCCTGTGCTGAAGAGTACCAGACCTTCTGAACGCGGGCATCTGCGTCTGCCTGACTCCAGAGCTCGTGTTCCCTTTCCCCACTAAACCATGTTGATTTCCGTCAATCATTGTCACATAAGTAGACATTCAAAATCAGTGAATCCTGACCAAATCAGAGAATCTAGCCATTTTAAAAAGAACGCCATTAAAAAATATTTACATTTCTCTGACTTTATTATCAGTTTCTATTAAATTCAATTTAATGTTTTCTAGATCATTCAGAACTGTTGTATCGGTGATTGTATTACCCTGGAATACAGTGATGCTCTCAGGAGCTACTGAAATCTCTGAAATGACTTGCCCCATAGCTAACAGTCCAGACTGCTGTGCTATTTGACTTTGTGTTATCTTTTTATTTAAACATTTTTGTTATTGTTGTTTTACCTGGTCCTTTGCTGTTAAGCTTTTTACTGTCAGATGCTGTTTAGGTCATTTATGGCACCCTGTCCTTCCCTCCCAGTACTTCCCTCACTCCTTCCATCTGGCATAGAAAGATACGCCATCTAACCTATCGCTTGGAACAGTAATTTTAACTGGATAGAGTGTGGAATGTATTGCTGTTTCTCAGAATTACCTGACAAACATTTTCAAATTACTGCCCCAGCTCCTCTCCTCACAGAATCTAGCACATCCCCCTGAGTATGTGTAATCTCAGAATTGGGGATGGATGTGAGAGAACGGTAGTCTCCTATACTGGAATAATTGCTCCAGGTGATTTTGATTGCACCCCTGTCCCCCCGCCATCCCACAGTCCTGTAGAGAAGCACTAACTTGGAGCATCTTTTTTTTTTTAAACATACTTCTAGTCCTTGGTTCCACGTAGTTTAGGTGCAGGACAATTGAAGCATTGTTGAATTTACGTATTGATTGATTAGTACAAATCGTATTGTCCATGCGTTTCTATTTATTTAGCCCGGATCTACTGTTAGCTGTAATAGGAGGCTTAAGGAATAAAGTGTTACTCCGGTGAGTTTAGCCAGAAAGTGCATCTACCTCTGTGCTCTGGGAGAAGGACGGTGCTCCTCTCTCTGGGAAGGCTGTGCTTGGGATGAAGATAGCAGCTTGGGGGGCTGTGCTGGCCTGTGAGAAAGGTGGGGGCACCCAGCCACACAGCCAGCCAGGTAGGCCAATCATCATTGGAGTAGGTCAGACCCAAAACTTACTCAGAATGAATACACTGAGGAGTAAGAAGGGAGAATAGTGCCAGGAATAGTTGAGAGCAGAGTCTTTGTGTTAGACAGACCTTGGTTGGAATCCTGGCGCTACCATTAGTGTCATTAGCGATTTTCACAGCAATCTAACTTGCTCTTGGACAAATTACT